AGTTGTGTTTTGAAGTCTTGCTAGTCTTTGAAGGGAAACCTATCCTCATTCCATATAAGCCCTTCTAAGCTTTGCCATCTAGACTCATGATGATAGCCTTGAGTTTCTCCGTATCAAGCATCTTGTTAAGTTTGAAATAACATTATACTTAACAAACTCATCCCTCAAGGTTTGCACCATTGAGCACCAAAATCTAGTCATATTTGTCAATGTGTAATTGCTCATTCATTGCTCCTTGACTGGCTTTAAAAGGGGGAGAGGGCCCTGAATTGGTCCTTGTCAATGAGTAATGGCATCCAATTGTCAAGGGGGAGGGCCCCAAATGGGGTCCATGAATGACCTGGAGGAAGAGGGGGCTTGCTTCAATGTGGAAATGCTAGCATCCAACTTATTGCTCAAGGCTGATATATGGTCTTCTGTGTGTTGAAGCACCTAATCTAGCTTCAGAACTAGGTCATATGTTGTCTTCCTTTGGGCTTCCTTGATGATAGTAACTTTACCTTTAAGGGCTTCAACTCAAAGGTTAGTGATCTTTGGTGGCATTTGTACCTAGGTTGAGCTCTAATACTAGCTGATGTGATTCCAAGTGAAACCAAATGAAAGAAAAGATTAAACAGAGCAATCATAGGAAATAGAAATAAACATAAGAATGAAAAGGGACATAGAGACGGATCACCTCCACCTCAAGAGTTTGTTTCAAGAGGACTCCCACCCATCCACTCGACACTACTCCCCAGAAAAGTGTCTCCCTTACAATTTGAGAACCCCAATATCCTCCCATTCCCCTCCAACCAAAACCTAGACTCTTTCCCTCCCAAAAGACTTGTTTACTAAGGGTTTTTTGGGTATTCTTCTTCAATTGTACATAAGTAATGGAGGTAAAACATTATGTTCTCTACATCATTACATGTTGTGTTCTCATTCTCTCTTGTTACCTTAGAACTTGGCTAAGGCTAATCATCTCATCCTCATAGGGTCGTGAGGAAGGTTTCCTCTCCCTTTTGTAAGTCATTTTGGAGCTCTCATGCTAACAATATTTGTAGGCCCTATTGCATCTTTTGTGCTCTAGGGCTAACTCATAAGCTTGGTCCTTTTGTAAGAAAGACTATGTAAATTAGAGAAGGTCTCTAGTTGTGATCACATGAGGAAATTAATGTCAAAATCATCCATCAATAGTACCATAAAATCCACAACTTCTACCCTTATTTAAATTTTTAGAGAGTCACTATGTGTGACATCTCACTAAGTTAATGACTTTTATCTGTGCATCTCCTCATGACAATGTCAGGCCCACCTATGACACCTCTCTCTTTTAGATGAAATTGTGAGAAGCTTTATTATGGATCATCGTAGATTAACTTGGTATCATTGATATCTAAAAAATATTATGATGTACTTAATAATCAGCTTTAGATAATCCTTATGTAGTTGAGAACCCCTACAAATGAGGCACCTATTAGTTGCTTGATTTTATTGTATCATGAAAAATCTTAGATACTTTCTATCCCTTGTTGGGCCTCTATTTGCAATTACCATCAAGCTGGTTCTTGTGATTGTCATGGTCATTGCCACTTTGGTCAGCAAACTTTTATCCATCCTAGTGTTTGGTGCTAGTGTTAGACATTGGTGTGTAGAAGACTTATAGTTGACAAAGGTATTGGTCATCGCTATACTCCCCTTACTCATTATTGGCTCCTCAACATCGCAGCTCTACATCCACTCATAGCTACAACTCTATCATAAAATTAAAATTTTTATTCTCATTGAACATGTTTTTGATGTTGAGGAAGATTGTAGTAAATTACTTCAAAAACTCTTCTATTGATCTTGTGTTTTAGTTCTCAAAAGTACATTACAAGTCTTCTTCTCAACTTTATTACTATTGAACAAATGGCTAGTTTGACATCATCACTCAATAAGTACATGCTTGCTTGCATGCCTCTGTCTTCCTTTGAGGTGTGAACTATTAATAAGTAATGGTTCATGTCTCACAGGAAAATTTTAATTTCATAGGCATTAAACACACCTACGAATGCCTTGGACTTCAAAACCTAATGAGCCCCTTACTTGCATTTCACTCTCACTGACCATCACTACCTCTTACTTAGATATATGTGAACTGCCTTCGACACCAATTGTCTTACTCATATATCTTTGAAATGCTTAACTATGTGCAGCCTTGGTCATCTCCTCACCATTAACTAGTCCACATCTCTGTGGATGCTTTGCACTAGCACAGAAATAAATGAGGAAAGTGCTACTAACTTCATATCAAGAAGTTACATCAGGAGAGAAGAGCTCGAACATCCCTTGCTCGTTGTCTTGGCCGGTGAAAGACCCAGAGAGAGGAACCAAGTGATACTAGACACTTTGTCTTCAAAAGGTCGGCCCCACCTGCCTCCTTGTTCTAGGGCCCACTTGTATTATGTGCACTCTTGTCGACTAGTGCTATGTGTGCTTCTTCACTTGGTTGATGGTCAACATGCCCAGTCAACTCTTGTCTAATGGAGACAATTACTCTCCACGTGTCAACCGGAAGCACGATCCGATAAGTAGCACTTGGCTTCTTCCTAAGGGCTCCAAGGCCTATTGACGTTGAAATACTGATTTGTAGGGATTAAATGACCAATTTCAGGGGGTTTTGATGAGAGAAATAAATCCTACACGTGTCGTCTCGTTCCCGGTTCCCAGGACGACCCATTCGATCGACGAGTTTTTAGTTTGGCGACTCACACGCCGAGCCGGGGATCCGGTCACTGCGGTGAGTTTAAGAACAACATGTTCCGTGCGTGTGAGGCGAGTGGGAAGGTTAGGATGAGATTCGTGTGGGGGCCGTTTCTACGGAGAAGGGGCGACTCGGAGTGAGCTCAGCGGCGATGCAGGGCGATGCGGCCGGCGGTGCCGCTAGGGTTTTCTGCTCAATTGTCTCCTCCACTGTCCCCAGGTGCGTGGCGATCCTTCCCCGGTGGGGGGCTGCTCCTCCGCAGGGCCTCGCCGTGGGGCGTCCGCCGCCGCCGGAGCGGCCCAGATCGGAGCTGGATCGCTGACTCACCTCGGTGGGGCAGGGGCCAGCCCCGTCGCGATCTCCGTGTTTCTCCGGGTGGACTTCGTCCGATGGGACTCGGACCGCCCGTTCCGGCGATTTAAGGGTTTTGTTTGGGCGGGCGATTGTGGGAGCCCGGCCGGGTGCGGTGGGAGCGATGGTGTGGGGATGGATGCTCCTGCAGGGATGATGTTTGAAGTGTAGATATCGGAATTCCTACCTTGCTGCGAATTCTGATCGGAGGGCGTCGATATGTTGTTTATGTTGTTGTTGTTCTGTTGTCGTCGTCGCTGCTGCCGCTGCCGGTGTGGTTATTCGTTGGGTCGTAGAATGGACATCCTCGGGGAGTTTTACGTGAGGGTCAGGGTAAAGTTTCTCGAGAGTCTCCTGCCTTCGAGTCCGCGCGGAGCTGGTTTTGGGAAGCTTTCTTGATCGGTTCGTGCGAACTAGTGGAGGTCTGATGGGGTCATTGGCTCGGTGCAGGTCTCAGAGGCGTCCAGGAGGAAAGGGAAGGCGTCGGAGCTGCCCGAGGCTGTTTCCCAGTGAATGATAAGCTTCAACCAGGATCCATACTCGATATGGTAAGCCTCTGGAAGTTCAGTCTCTCTGGACTTTGGGTCCGTTGTATCGCGATCAGAACCCCAAGTTGTGTTGTGGGCACTCACGTTTCAACTCGAATTATTGTTCATTATTCAGCTGGTTGTTCGAACTTTGGGATATTGCCTCGAAATACCACCATTCCCTCGACATAACTCAGTCCTACAAGATTAGTCAAAGTGCTGTATATAGATCTTATGGGGAGATCATTTCACATTGCGCCAATATTCTGCTCTTTGTGTCATTCTTGACAGGATTCTTTGATGGAATAGTACCTTTTCCATTTCCATGAAGTAAACCTAGGCCTTGAGATAGTGCTGCGTATAGATCTAACCTGCTACACCACTATTCTGTTCCACGAATCAGTATCAACAATGCTATTTTGCAGAGAAGTTCTGCGGTTCGTAATAAGTGATTAAATGGTTGAAATATCATACTCCAAAAACAATATTTCCGCCGAAGCTATTGGTTTTTAAGGACTTGACGTTATCTTTATAGAAGAAGAGAAAAGAAGATTTCTAGTTGGAGGGGATCCATGAACAACAAAATTTCAATTTGGAATTCATGATTGTGCTTCGCTTTCACCGAATTGACTCTTATTCTAATTTCTTGAAATCCTCAGCTATCCTAGATCAGTCGAATGTATTGATGCTCGATGTATAAATACCTAGTAATTCAAGCATTTTCATTAGAGCTCATGTATCCCTGCACACTAGAATGTGACACAGCGATTCTGACATCTTATTTTCGGTTTCTTATTTGTATTGCTTTGTGAACGTATTGATTTTCTTTCAAATTCTGCCTAATTTATTCCTGTGACTCCATGAAAATTTGGTTACGGTTATTCATCCATTGTCACTTTTATGAATCATTTGAAATTTCTGCTTTCACTTATCTTTACTTGAAAACATGCTATATCTCTGCTAAAAAGTGATTAGCAGGAATGTCAAGCAGTTGTCTACGATAAAAAGGGGGCATACATTTGGGAAACATGTGCTCTATTTATTTTTTTGGGTATGTTGTGTAGATCACCCGTAGATTTTCTTAAGCATGGGATAATTACCGTTTTCAGTTTTCTCCATTAATTTTTCTCCTTGAATCTGCAGATGCTGTATCAGAGACTCTAAATCTGCTATCTCATGCGTGAATGAGTGAAGAAATGGCGCCACCTCGATCATCAGGATTTACTGACCCTGGATGGGAACATGGTGTTTCACAAGATGAGAAGAAGAAGAAGGTAAAATGCAACTATTGCGGAAAGATAGTTAGTGGAGGAATATACAGATTGAAACAACACTTGGCTAGAATCTCCGGGGAAGTCACATTCTGTAGAAAAGCTCCCCAGGAGGTGTGTGTAAAGATGAAAGAGAATTTGGCAGGCTCTCAAGCCATCAAGAAGCACTGTCGTTATGAAGATGATGACCAAGCATCTTTTGATTTGCACTCTAATGACGATAATGAAGAGGCTGATGAGTCTGGAGACTACAAGCAGGCAGAAAAGCAAGGAAATGTCGATAAAAGTTTGGTTGTCAACTCAGCCCCTCTTCGATCGCTAGGGTATGTCGATCCTGGTTGGGAGCACGGCATTGCTCAGGACACGAGGAAGAAGAAGGTGAAGTGCAACTACTGTGAGAAAATTGTCAGTGGTGGTATCAACAGATTTAAGCAGCATCTGGCCCGGATCCCAGGTGAGGTTGCGTCCTGCAAAATGGCTCCTGATGAAGTGTACCTTAGGATGAAAGAAAATATGAAGTGGCATCGGACTGGAAGAAGACGGCAGTCTGAATCTGATATGGTATCCTTTTATGATAACTCTGACAATGATGAGACAGGAGATGGCGATCTTGCAAATGGTGGGAATAAAATAAGTCATCTATTTGGTGATCAGCTTTTGGTCCCTCACAAAGGACGTAGAAAGAGATCCAGGGGTAGGTCAAATGGCAGTGGCACCAGCGGCTCAGACCCACAGGTGAAGCAGATGAAGACAGAACCTTCTCTTCTAAAGACACAGAAGAGCACAGCACTTCCCCACAAGCAAGCAATAAAGGCCGAAAATGAGAAGAAGATCCACAGAGAAGCAATTTCTGCAATCTCCAAGTTTTTCTATCACGCAGCCGTGCCTTTGAATGCTGCCAACTCCCCATATTTTCATCGGATGTTGGATTTGGTCAGCCAGTATGGCCAGGGATGGAAAAGCCCATCCAGCCGATTACTGTCTGGCCGACTTCTTCAGGAGGAAGTTGTGGGCATCAGGCAGCATCAGTTGGAAATCAAAACCTCTTGGATGGTCACCGGCTGTACCATCATGGCGGATCGCTGCCAAGACATGCAGAATAGAACGTTCATAAATTTTCTTGTTTCCTGTCCTCGGGGCACATCCTTTATTTCTTCGGTTGCTGCATCGGAGATCATAGAGGATGCTCCAAGCATCTTCAACTTGTTGGACAAGATTGTAGAGGAAGTGGGGGAGGAGAATGTTGTGCAGGTACTCAGCTCTCCTGCCCAAATATCTTTTCTGTAGACACAAAGAATATATATATATATATATATATATATATATATATACACACACACACACAATAATAGAGATATCTCTTCACTGCTTGCATTGTCTGCTAGGTGGTCACAGAGAGCTCTCCAATCTTCAGAGCTGCTGGGAGGATGCTGGAGGAGAAGAGGAAGAATCTATTCTGGATGCCTTGTGCTGCTTACTCTGTCGATCGGGTGCTCGAAGACTTCATCAAGATAAAATTAGTGGAGGAGTCCATGGCAAAGGCCCAGAAGATCACTCGGCTCATCTATAACCATTCGTGGCTGCTGAATCTCATGAAGAAAGAGTTCATGGCAGGAAGAGAGCTAGTTCAGACCGCCGCTACCAAATCTTCAGCCAGCTTTCTCACCCTGCAATGCCTGCTGGAATGCAGAAACGCTCTCAAAAGAATGTTCCAGTCGAGCAAATGGGTCTCCTCCAGATTTGCCGATATGGAGGAAGGCAAGGAGGTTCAGAAGATCGTCCTAAACTCCGCATTCTGGAAAAAAATTCAGTACATTAGAAAATCGGTGGACCCTGTTCTGCAGGTGCTTCTGAAGGTTGAAGGTGACAGGGACCTCAGCTTGCCGTTCATTTACAACGACATGTACAAGGCCAAGCTTGCCATTAAAGAAATCCATGGCGAGGACGAAATAAAATATGAGCCGTTCTGGATGGCGATAGACAATCATTTGAACTCTCTCTTCCACCATCCCCTTTGTGCGGCGGCCTACTTCCTCAATCCATCATTCCGTTACCGTGCCGATTTCTTAGGGGTATGGGGTGTTTAATTGTGATTTATATAGACCGAAGCTTGACGATTATCATACCATGGTTCTTGTAATCTTTGTTCAATTCTGCTCAATCTTTGCAGCTTCCCGAGGTCATCCGCGGCGTCAACGAATGCATCGTCCGTATGGAACCGGACAGCGGGAGGAGGATTTCGGCCTCGATGCAGGTCCAGGAATAGGAACTTATCTGTGTATGATTTCCTTCTTTGCATGGGGTATTGCCTTCTTTGTGATCTTGATTACCTGTTGTAGATTGCCGATTTTGTTTCTGCCAAGGATGATTTTGGAACTGAGCTGGCCATCAGTACAAGAACAGAGCTAGATCCTGGTAACAACTACTTTATAACATCTTTAAGAATCTTACACAAAATGACGTCTCCTGATGATATTTTTATTTTGAAAATTCTATAATTTTGACAAGTTTTAGTCGAAATGATAAAAGTGATCATTTTTACCCTAGAAATCGTTTTTCTGATAATATTCTTGTGGTAATTTTATTTTTTCAAAAATCTGAGTCTATATATATACTGTCTGATAACTTTTTACCTCATGAAAGGATGTTAGATCCTGCGATGATCTTTATTTATTTCTGATTGTGGCAAACTATCTAAGATTTCCCACGATCTTATTCGATAATATGCCTGCTTGCGGTGATGAATTGATTGTTGGATTGTTGATAGTATCGAGATCTTCGCTGCAGCTGTATGGTGGCAGCAGCACGGGATAAATTGCCTGGAACTCCAGAGAATCGCCATCCGCATACTGAGCCAAACCTGCTCATCCTCCGGCCGGGACCTCCACGGCCCGAACCTGCCACCGGGCCAACCGGCCGACGTTAGCCACCGCAACCGGCTCGCCCAGAAGAGGGGCAGCGACCTCCTCTTCGTCCACTACAATCTCCGCCTCAGGGAGCGCCAGCTGGCGAGGGGGCGGCCTGACGAGCCACCTGGCGGTGGCGGCGGCGGCGGCGCCAACGCTGTCTTCCTGGAGGATCTGCTGGACGGCTGGATCTGTGACGCCGAGAGGCCAGCGATCCAAGAGGACGAGGTAATCCAATGGGGCTTCCTTTGGCACGTGGGTGCTCGTGGGAAAGCCACATGGCAAGCAGAAAAAAAAACCCCACTGGCCCGCCCGCCCTTCTATCTTAGAGGAGAGGAGAGGTACGTGGTATGCTCTTTCGGATGGTGATCATCCGAAAGAGCATACCACGTGGGTGATTAGGGGAAGCCACGTGGTAGGAGTGAGGGCCGATTTCATGAGATGTTGATTTGTTGAAATATGGGTTTTTTTTTTGGGTTAGGTGCAGGAGATGCTGTACGAGGAGACGGAGGCAATCGAGGGGGAGGAGAACGGGGAGCTGGAGGCTGAGATTGGCCGATCGGCGGCGCCGCCCTTCCCGGAGATCGTGGAGCCGCTCGACTTCCAGCACGGTGTTGACTGTGGCGGACCCACCGACGACGACGACGATGCCTCCGCCGCCGCCGCCGGCGAAGACGCTGACCTCGACTTCTTCGGCGACGAATAGAGGAAAACCTCCCTTCCTCTCTCTCTCGCTTCATCTCTCTCCCTCTCCCCGACAGAAGAGATTGGAGAAGAGAGAGGGGTTCGATGTGTAATATTGTGTAGTAGATCTGTGTGCCGCCGCATTGTGGTGATTCATACAGACCGCTGTTCTCCAGGGCCTGTACAGTGACCTCCCGGTTCCCTGACCGTCCTGCGGAGGTGAGGTGCCCAGCTGGACCATCCATGGGCCCGGGCCCATTCTGCTGACGCATCTCGGCCCGACCCGACCCGACCCGACCCCGTGGGGCCCCCTCTTCTCTAATAGGTCCGGGCATTTCTTCTGAGGTCTGCACTCATCTCAGACGCTGGCAGTGACAGCTCTAGAGAGAGAGATAGGGGGGTCGTGTTTTACATAAAATACGTTTTTAGGGGTTTATGTGTAAAATGACAAGCAAATGGGAGAGGGGTTGTAAAGCTACAACGGCTCCTGCGGGGATTTATTTATTTATGATTTACTTACTCAGACGAGAAAAAGGAGCTGCTCTGCGTCTGTTGCTGCCTTCTTCCTCAACACTTCCCCTTCTCGCCCAGAACCAAAGGGCGTCCATCGCCCCCCCCCCTCGGCCCTCCACTCTCTGTCTCTCTCTAAAACACGCACGGCCGGACGGACGCACGAAGGCACATTTTCTCTGTCGGACGTTCAGGGTTTCTTCTTGCCTGTGCCGTCTGGCTCCTATGCAACTTCGAGTGCCAGAGGGGAATATAGTCCTTGGATTGGGGCATCAGGAGAGGAGTTTCTGCAGCCGCCGTCCTGGCTTCGACGGTGGTTGCGGCGGGGGAGGTGGCCTGGGTGGTGGATCTGGGTTCCGATTGGGAAGTTTCGTCTCCTCCCTGGAGTTTCACCGCTGGTCGTCGGAGCGTCGGAGATCCAGTTCCAGGGGAAACGTTTCAGGGAGAGTAGAGCTCTGGTAGTCCTCGGAGGTCGTGAATGTGGGTTTGAAGAAGGGGATTGAGTGGCTGTTTTCCTGCGTCAGAGATCTGGAGTTCTGAGGTATCTGCGAAGAAGGGTTAAACCGGGTTCATTCCTACATTTCTGATTTTCTCTCGCCTCTCCCTTTCATTTGGTGGCTCTCTATCAGATGCAGATACCGATGTGAGATTGTGTGTCTAGCCGGTCGTTCCCACATTTGCATGTTTTAGTCTTGTTTTCTTAGAAAGATCTTTGCCGAAGAACGGCTGATTTTGGTTTCTTTGCCTTCACTCCCCGTTTTGTATTTGTTATTTTTATCAGTTCCTTCCCCGGGATTCAGGAAAACGTATTATGGTAGGGGTGCAGAATCATTGAACGTGTTGGAAAGCTCATCCTTTTTCAGGGACAGGGACTTGTACCTGAAGAACATGACCTCCGGCTCCTCACATAATTTTTATGTCTGTCCTTTTCTTGAGATTGATATGCCCATTTTCTTTCACTTCTATGATAGATGACCAATTCTTTTTCCGTTTGATTTTAGTTTAATCTTCGAATCATTGAGAGAAATTCACGTTGTTTTCTTCCAATGCTTTGTCTCTTTTTTTTTCTTACCATAAAGGACTGCTTTGACCACACAGGAAACGTCGTGAAATTTCTTATATAATGTGATATTTCCTTCCAGGGAAATAGGTGTGGTCGTTACAACTTAGAAGTGTCTTTACTTCATCAAATGCTACAGTTGACTTGTAATTGTTTTGAAAATGGAGAGTGCCATGCATTCCCTTGATGTTAAAAAAACTAAAGGGATTTAAAAATTCATGCCCACTAGGCTGCCAAAAGCCTAAGTAAAATATCTAACTTTGCATCAAGAAAGTGTGGAGTTTTTAACTTTCCCTAAAGGGTGGAATTCTTTCTCTCACTGCTATAAAGTTATGGCCCAATCACCCACTCCAGAGCATATATGACTGCCCTCTCTGCCAAACAACCCTTGGCGTCTGAAAATTTGCATGTTTCTCTCATTCCAAGTGACCTTAAGAAGAATCCACCGAATTTCTGTGTCCCATTTAAATTTTCCTAATAATTTACCCAATAATATTTTCCACTTAAGGCTGAGCTTATTATTTCATGGTTTCAAATGGGTGATTTATCCCTCACTCGTAATATCCTTTCCAGTTTTCTGACTGTAAACTTTTTGCTTTGTTTTTTAACACTTGTACACATCTCATCTGAACTTTTCTGTGACACCTGTCTTTACTTGTTTTTGTTACGTGTTATCATTTTTTGTTTTTCTTGTGTATTTAAGCTTGGATATTGCAATCTACGTGCATTGTAAATGGCGACCTTTTTGCCTGATTTGGTGAGTTTAGAGATTAAGACTTTCTTTATTTTCCTTTTCCTCTTCAGGATATTGACATCTGGGGAATCAAGATGTCGGATTCTGGGAGCTCCCTCAATTCACAACTTTCTCAGAAAACGTCTTTCTTCGGCCTTAAGGTGTGGGTTGTGATTGGAATAGCTGTTGGTGTGTTCAGTCTTGTCATTCTCTCAGTGCTAGCTATTTGTGTTACCATTAAGAATAGAAGAAAGCTGAAAAGGGCTTCTGTTAAGCTCCCCGTCGTCCAAATTCCAGTGTTATCGAAGGAAATCAAGGAAGTAAGGGTTGATCAAGTACCTACTAATGATTTTCCTGCTCCTAATGGGTCTCTTCTCCCAGTTCATGATAACTCTGGTGAAAAAGAATCAGATAAGGTAATGGTTTACTCGGGGGTTGGTAAGACGAAACAGACAAGCGGCTGCAGCCATTCAGGTTCATTTCACCGTGTGGACAGAGATTGTAGCTCCCAGTCAGGGGATGAAGGGAACTTTGGGAAAGTTCAAGTTCATAAACCAACGTCTTCACTTCCGATAACTGCTCCTTCACCATTGATTGGCCTTCCCGAACTTTCGTCTCTCGGTTGGGGCTACTGGTTCACATTAAGAGACTTAGAAGTGGCAACAAACCGTTTCTCAAAGGATAATATTCTCGGAGAGGGTGGGTACGGTGTTGTTTATCGTGGATACTTAGTTAATGGAACTTCAGTTGCTGTTAAGAAGCTCCTGAACAACCTGTGAGTCTCCACGAACTGAGCTTACTTCGCATTTTTGTTAGATCAACATTTTTCTATTCTTATGTGCAATATATGGAATGATTATTGTAGGGGTCAAGCTGAGAAGGAATTCCGGGTTGAAGTTGAGGCCATTGGTCATGTTCGCCATAAAAACTTGGTGCGCCTTCTGGGGTACTGTGTTGAAGGTACCCAAAGGTACAAATACAAAAGAACCCTTAATAACTATGAAGTATTTCGTCTGTTATTATTTCTCATTCTGCAGTATTGATGCATATGTATTGCAAAAGTAGTAGAACACGAAGCATCTCTGTTGATTGATGGTTGAATTCTATTTCTATCCATCTTTTACTGAATTCTTGATTTTCTTTTTCAGGATGCTGGTTTACGAGTATGTTAACAATGGAAATTTAGAGCAATGGCTTCATGGAGCAATGAGGCAGCGGGGTTACCTGACTTGGGATGCTCGGATGAAGATTCTCATTGGCACAGCCAAGGCGTAAGCCCCATCACGAACCTTTACCTGTAACTATAACAGCATTCATTTTAACAAATGAGACAAGAGCATCCATTTTCAAAGAGGCCTTGAAGATCATTATCTTTTCATGAAAAATGTTGACTTACATGAAGCTAATTCATGAATGTCTCTTGTGCAGTCTTGCATACTTACATGAAGCTATTGAACCCAAAGTTGTGCACCGGGACATAAAATCAAGTAATATTCTGATTGATGACAAACTCAATGCAAAGGTGTCTGACTTTGGTCTTGCTAAGCTTCTGGGTGCTGGAAAGAGCTATGTCACAACACGAGTGATGGGGACATTTGGGTTTGTGTTTCTTTAGTCCTTTGCCTTTCCATTTTTTTGGTCCACAAATGAAACTATCGTATGAATATCTTGATGTATTCTTATCCTCCTCATATTTATTTCTCTCAATGTGCAGCTATGTAGCACCAGAATATGCAAACACGGGACTTCTTAATGAGAAAAGCGACATCTACAGCTTTGGGGTTGTTCTGTTAGAAGCAATTACTGGCAGGGATCCTGTTGACTATGGTCGTCCTTCTGATGAGGTACAGAAATTACTTCTCCCTGTTCCTACCTGACATTGTTTAATTTATGCAATCTAGGTGCTATTGAAATCTGATGTGAGAGTCATGGGATTAAGTTTCTATGATTAGCAAGTCACGACCTGTTTGTCTCTTAGCTCGCATTGTATCGCTTTGAAATTTTTTATTTCTTTCGATTTCCTTCTATTTTTCATCTTATGCTCACATTATTTTGATAGGTAAATCTTGTTGAGTGGCTCAAAATGATGGTAGGGAGTAGACGCTCAGAAGAAGTAGTGGATCCAAGCATTGGGACACCCCCATCCACCAGAGCTCTCAAACGAGCACTTTTGGCTGCTTTGAGGTGTGTAGATCCAGACTCAGCTAAGAGACCGAAAATGAGCCAGGTTGTCAGTATGCTAGAATCTGATGGTCCAATTCCTCGTGAGGTCAGAACTCTGATCCTTCATTGGTGTTTCTATTGCTTACAGCACTCATCTTGATGATGAATATGATGCCCATCGTATGAACATATATACATGTGTACATATGTATATATATATTTGTGTGTGTGGTTGTGTTCTAACATTACATAGATGTATATTAGGTGGCAACATCTGGTTTTATTTAACATGTCCACCAAAATAATTCCAGGGTCATCATCAAAATTATTTTTCTCAGATCTATGTCTTTATATAAGTCAAAGTGTTGTTTGCATCACATTACATCTGATGGCAAGAAAATCCACATCTTGGACTCTGCCATGGTTATTTCGTACTCATTATCTACCAACTAAGGTAGCTCTATTTATATATGTACATATATTATGCATATAAACTAGATCGTCAGAACCTTGCTTATTTTTAACACAGTTAATGCTTAGTGAGACGACAGTCTATTAGACGTCGATTTGGGCCTAGTGATATTTGACCGCATGATTTTGAAAAAAGACCTTACTCTTCTAATCGTCTTCCATTTGAAGAATTCCAGCTGAGTTGACCCAACCTCTGGCCTTGCTTATTAATTTTGGTTGACTATTACCTATATTACCTCCAATTTTATATATATGCTTGACTAAGTTTTATGTAGAAGTTGATGGTGGGTGGTTTAAAAGAGGCTCCTTTTTCTAAAAAAATTTCTTGGAGGAAGATTAGCAAAGACCCTCCATTATGGACTGTTCTCTATCTTCTGGGGAGATTCTCCTGCTGATCTCTGAGGAGTGACTCTTTATCAGGATCGAAGGCGCTTCCGGCAAAGCCGAGGTGGAAATACAGAGACAGGATCCCAGACAGAGAACTCTGACACTGAGAAGAGCGACAATCCTGATGCCAGCGATTCCCTGCGGCCTGATTCTTCTGCGAGCAAGTGAAGGACCGATCCAGCCCATGGGGGACCAGGCCAACACATTTTTTCCACCACCATCTTCCCTGGTTGATCTGGATTACTATTTTTGGATCAAGGGTTGGACTAAGAAGCTCATGAAGTTGATTTTCTTGTAAGTTTTTATGTATGTTGTTTGTTGATAATTTAGCTGCGGTGTATAGGTCCTTTAGACGATTGATGTACCCTTACCATGATGTAGATTATCATCACCATAGTCATTGTCATCATCATTATCATCATCATCATCATCATCATCATCATCATCATCATGTTGTCCAAATCTTATGTTCTATCATTGGATGATGTGTACAGCTCTTGTCTTCAGATGGTTGCTGGATGCTTTCCATGATGAAGATCACCTTCATCTTCATGTTTTTGTACTCTTCCACTGATTGAATAGAGGGATATAACTTACCATAATCTGAGATTATGGTAAGTTACCATAATTTCAGATCCTTCCGTGATTGAATAGAAGATCATGAGTACTTACCATAATCTCAGACCCTTGTCATATAACTTCACAATAGTGCAGAATAGAGGGAGCTGAAGGGCGTGACCTTGAATCCATGAGGGAAAAATCCAGAGAAATGAGAGAGAAGATGAAAATTGCATATTGCAATTGCTTTATGAGAGAAAATATTAGAAAATACTTAAGAAAGAAAATTGTAATATTTCTAGATATTATGATTCTCCTTAAGTGGGCCCATTAGTTTTTAACCTTTTAATAGGCATTGTCAAAATAAATAGTAAGCTTTCTCTTTGTAGCCTTAGGAGTATGAAACCACTTATTTATGTTGAAATTGATTATAAGTTAGAAGACTTATGAAAACATTTATGATGCATTAAGGATATTATAAGTTCCTCGTAATGCCTTTTGACTTATCCAACACCTTGGCAACCTTTGAGGCCACCATGAATCTAATTTTCGTACAATTCTTGCAACAATTTGTGTTGGTGTTTTTCAATGACATCTTTGTTTGTAGTTGGACCAGTGAAAAGCACAAGAGTCATCTTCTCCAAATATTTCTCATTTTTGACAAGTAATTTTACATTCACCTTAAGAAATATATATTTAGTCAATCAAAGGTTGCTACTTGAGCCACTAGATTTTGGTAGATGGTGTCGCTGTCAACTTAGAAAAGGTCATTGTAGTCTACTGATGGCCATCACTCATAACACTTCACAACTTCCCAAGATTCTTTGACCATGTAGGATAATACTAATGTTTCATCTACAATTTTAAAAAAGTTGTATGGCAACTAACATAATAGCTGAAGAAAGAGATATTATGCTAAAACTCAATAGTTAAAGTAGCTTTCTAACAACTCAATCAAGTCTTGACGATAGTCTAATGTTGGCATTGCTAGACTTTTGCTGTCACATTTGAGCTCAAGACAAACATCTTTGATCATGGCATAGGAGTTATTCTCATACAGCATTGAATATTGGTGTATTTTTTTAGTTAAGCTATGGTGCCCACCCACCTTTAGAAGCCAACTTACAAGTGTGAGATCATTGTCATTGTCCTCACCATCCTCAAATGTCGCCATTATTTTTTTGGGTACAGGTTCAAAATTTACATAGATTAGTATAATTTAAAATTCACTCTAGAGCGACAATAAATTCTCCTAGATTATTAGAAGTGAATGACGAAGATTATTTCATTTGACTTCGTGATTTGCTTTAAACCAAATGATGCATCAAAAATCATTGTTAATTTAAGCACTCAAATTTAATATTTATAATTAAAAATCAAAATAAACTCTTTTTAATTATAAAGATTTTAGGTCAATCATGAGGAAAACCAAAAGGTTGAAAGCATTATTTTAATATATAAAGTGTGAAAAAAATAGGAATCAAAATGTGTTGCTCTTTGAATAACAAAATTACTAGAGGTTGAAAATTAGAAATTGAGAATCATAAAAAAATAGAGAAAATAGTTATTGTAAAATCTAGAAGCCAATAGCAAACTTATTCTAAAATCACAAAAAAATATAAAAGATAAGAAACTAATTATGTTACATTTTCTCAAAAGATATTAACATAATTCCATATGACACTCATGAAATCCGATTTGTTCCAAAAAAAAGGCCAAAAAGATAAGAAAAATAGGAAATGATTCATGTAAAATATAAAAACTTATTCTATATACTTTTTAAAATCATGAAAAAATTATTGAAGATAATAAACTAATAATGCTACATTTTCTCAAAAGAAATTAACATAATTCCATGTGGCATTCATAAAATCAAATTTGATCCAATGAAAGGTCAAATCAAAAAACCCAGAAAATAATTTTCAGCACTGTGCATGATGATTTTGTCACCAAATGTCCAAAACATGATCTTTGGATGAGAGAAAATATTTATTGAATTCGTATTAAGAAAAAATCATAAATCTAAAAAAAACTATACAATTGAATACAAATCTCCTTTTGCTTATCCATAAAATGATTTTTAATGATACACTTGATGATTCTGTCACCAAAACATGATCTTTCAAAGAGATAAAATATTTATTAAATTCATAAAAAAGTAAGGTATCCAAAAAAAATTAAAAAAATTAAAAAAACTAAATAAGTTGATACATATCTCCTTTCCTTTGTTTAAGTGTCACCACCCAAACATAAGAAATGAGAGATAGAGAAGAATAACTCACTAGAAACTCAATAAAATATCATTTATTAAATAATACTCATCATCTACAAAATGAGGGAGTCTAAAGAGTTAAGAAATGAGGGAGAAAAGTGGAGAAATCGTGCTTGCAACCTTGAGGGCTCTGTCACCAATCCGCCACTACCTATTTACCTATGAAAAAAAAGCTTTATTTCATTTACCATCTGATAAGTCTTCATTATCATGAGTTAATAATTAGTAAATAATATAGTTTTAGCCTTAACTCATGATAAATAGACTTATATTTGTGTTAAAGTATGATTTGTGGTTTTCAGTTGATTAACGTGAATTTTTGGGTAATTATGTGATATTATACGATTTTTACAGTCTTACTTTTGAGATAAATGAAGAACAAGAAATAAAAACCAAAAATATTGCAAAATGGAGGGACCCGCCGACCAGCCGGGCCCGCAAGCGGGTCGGAAGCGCAGTCGGGGAGTAGCCGCGAGCAGGGGCTCGAGCAGCTTAGCTTGGACCGATAGGGGCACATGTGCGCCACTCCCCTTCCACGTCACCGGTTGTCAGCCGGCTGTGGGGCAAGGAGTGGTCGTACACGCGAGAGAAGTGACTTTGCTTACAAAGCTAACATTACTATATATTCACCCCAAAAATCGGCGCACAACTGATGTGGGACTAAACCCGCATCACACTTTCCTCACAGGCGGACAATTGGCGCGGGTTCGAATCCTCCCAGAGTCAAAATTCATATATTTCTATCTGATTATCGCGACTTTCTTGCAGATCGCCGATGAAGGATTAAGCAATGAGAATCGCTGGATCATCGGCGAAAATCTCGTCAACGTGATTCGCGGAGCATTGCTACTAAAATTGTTGAACGATTCGCGATAAAAGGATCGCAAATCCATCGAGTAAATCATCTCCGATTGATCGACGAACAAGCCGTCGTCGGGAAGAAGACGATCCGTCGGGAGACGAGTCGCCACCTCATGAGAGCGTACCAGATGCGATGAAGAGCCTCCTCTTGCTGCGCGGACTTGAGGATGAAGCTCCCTGACACGCGCCCCACCTCCATCCAGCTCCTCTCCGTCGGGTGACAGCCGCCGGAGAGCCGCAAAGTCGTCGTTTTTCCGCTCCGTCGGGTGACAGCCGCCGGAGACGATTCGACGACCCACTTCATTGATCTCTAGACTTCGCGAGAAGATCTAGAGATTGCCCACGTCGTCTTTGTCCAAGGAGAGTCTTCGAGGCCGTGGACACTGCACGACGATCCTCCCGAACGCTCAGGATTCCGGTGCATCGCCGACGCATCGCCGTCGCGATGTCGGAACTCTGTTTTCCTGCTTTTAATTTACTTTACGCTTCATTTAGTGATAATTTTTGTGTTTTCATTTTACCAAGATATACTTTGTTCTATTACGATTCTTTCAACTTTTACATATCTTAATTTGATCAATTAAATCGTCTGTAATCACTTACGTAAGAATCGCCGGGCAGAACTCTGTTTCTGCCCAATTCGCGTTCGTCGGGCGCTGACGTCATCCTGACATCCGCGCCCTTATTTCCCTTTTTCGTGAATTTTAAATATATTTCCTTTTTATTTCCTAGTATAAAATTCATAGAAAATCATATTCATTGAGAAAAATTCTGAATAATTACCAGATATTATATTACATCCTGTGATCGACCTGGAAAATTACTGCTATTTTTGGAACTTTTATTGAATTATAATTGATATATTTATTTAGAAATACTTCTAAATATCTGAAAATTCATATTTTCTAATTTTATAAATTTTAGATTTGCGTGATTTAATATGCAACGATTGAGTCACGTCAAATTTTGGCGCCGTTGATGGGGATGTATTGCATAATATTTAGTATTTTTCTGTTTTTCTCTTAGAGTACACAAAAAATTTAACTCTTGTTTTATTTTCTTTTTGCCGATTTTTTATTAGAAAAAGGGAACGAAAAGAAGCACGGCAAGGACTGGAGCATCCTGAAGGAGGGTAACAGTTACTAACTTTTTCCCTCGAATTTATTGATTTTTATGCATGGTGGAAGATCCTTGCATCCAAGGCTAGAAAATCCTTTCATTATTTCATTCAAAAATAAAAATCCAAAAGAAAAAATTAATTTTGATAAATCCTGAAGGAAGTACAGGTCAAACTGAGAACAATCTTATGGCCATGAAAAATTATTATATCCCTGATTCATTTCAACGAGCATCCAATATTAGAGTCCCATTAGCACCCAATGTTAAATTCGAAATAAATCTAGGAATTTTTCAAATGCTCCCTAATTTTCATGGATTGCCTTTAGAGGAACCTCATCAGCACTTAGAAAAATTTCAT